TTTGTTTTTTGAGACAGGTTCTCACTCTGTATTTCAGGATAGCCTTGAACTCACTATGTAGACCAGGCTGGCCTTGAACTTGTGGCAATTCTCCTATCTCAGCCTCCTGAATGCTTGGATTACAGGCGTGGGCCACCACACCCAGCTATTCATCATTTATTTTTTAAACCAAAATTATTATTGTCCTATACAATCAATATTCAAGTATTTTCTCCACATATTTATCTCTTTTCTTTCATTCATTCCTGCATTTCTCTGCTTCCATCAGGATTCTCCTCTTTCTACCTCTCTCAGCAATAAATTGTTTTACAATTTGCAAACCTGTTTGCTATAGTTCAGGTGTGGAGTGTTCCACCGGAGGCCCATGTGTTAAAGGATTGATCCCAAGCTTGGCGCTGTTAGGAGGCAGTGGAACCTTTAACAGGTGGAGCTTTTAGGTCACTGGGGTACAGTGAGGACCGTGGGACCCTGCCCTTCTTTCTCTCTTTCATTTGCATCACAAGGTGACCAGTTTCACTCTGCCACATCCTCCCTGCCTTACCAAAGTAACAGGGCCAATTAGTCATGGACTGACACCTCCAAAACTGTGAGCCAAAATAAACCTATTCTGCTTATTTGTTCCAGGCATCTGTCATAATAACAGGAAGCTTACTAATACATGCTTTACTCGACTTCCCTTTCTTTCTTTCTTTCCTTCCTTCCTTCCTTCCTTCTTTCTTTCTTTCTTTCTTTCTTATCAGGAATTGGACTCATGGCCTTGTACCTGCCCAGGCAGGCACTGCACTCAGGCACTGCACCACTGAACTACATCCCCAGCCTTCCACCTTCATCTTTGATTTTTCATCTTCATATTTTTCTCTGCAGAAAATTCTAGATTGGCAACTATTTTCTTTCAGCCCTTTAAAGACTACACCATGCATCCTTGACTTTCATTGTCTCCTGATTTCTACCATTTATCTCAAAAGTGAGCTGTCAGCATTATTATGGCTCCTGTAAAGGTAATGTGTCTTTTTTCCTCAGAATTCGTTTCTCTTCAGTTTCAGAAGTCTCACTACCATGCTCCTAGGTGTGAGTTTTTGTATTTATTTTGCTTGAGATATGTAGAGTTTCTTAGATTTGAGGTTTAAAGTCTTTCATCAATATTGTACTATTCAATCAGAAACTATTCAACTATAACTTCTGACACAGAGTTCCTTTACTTAAGTGAGAGATGAGTGTGTTAAGACATTTATATCATGTTCCATATGTTCCTATGCTCTTTTCTGTAGTTTTCATCTTTTTTCCCCAATTCATACTTCAGACTGTTTCCTACTGACCTGTCTTCCAATTTACTAATCCTCTCTTCTGTTATATCATGTCTGCTATTAAATTTATATTTTTTGTTTCAGTAATTGTGTTTCTCATTTCTACAATTTCCGTTCATTTTTTAAAAAAAAAAACTTCTAATTTTTCTTCAATTTTCTTGCATGTATTAGAGTCTATCTATGATAATGCCAATATCTTATCTAGATTTTATTTTTTTGTTTTGGAGATAGGGTCTGGCTATAGAATTTAGGCTGGCCTTGAACTCACTGTGTAGCCCAAGCTGGCCTGGAACTCACAGCAGTCCTCCTGCTTCGGCCTCCTGAGTGCTGGGATTACAGACATTTATCACCACACCTGGCCTTTTTTTTTTTTTTTGAGATGGATTTCACTATGTGAAATCCGGTTTGGCCTCAAACTCCTGAGTTCAAACAATCCTTCTGCCTCTGCCTCCCAAGTAGCTAGGACTATAGGTATGTGGAACCGTGCTTGGTTCTGTTTCTGTCATTTTCTTCTCTTAGTTTTCCACACATATTTGCTAATTTTTGTTCAATGTTAGATTCTGGATAGAATTAAAAATTGTGGAAGCTCTGCATGATGTTATTCTCCAGAAAAGATGTGAATTTCTTCTTCTTTATTCCCCAAACAGAGGAGGCTCAGATCAATTGATCCAATCAGGAACTGAGATTTCAGGCTTTGTGTGGCCTGGTCTACTTCTGGAGCTACCTTGTTTCTAGATCATAACCCTTCCCAAGTCTCACCGAACTCCTGGAGTGTTTACCAGATCCTTTATTTCCATCAGAACACAAACTCTAAATTTTGAATCTCCTGTTCCTGAACCAGGCCAGAAGCTATGCTTAACACTAGCTTTCTGCTTTGTTTGTGCCCCTACCCCCAACACACACATACACATACAGAATATGATTTGGCAAATTCTGTGAGGGAAAAAACTGTATGGAATGTGGGGCTTACTTCTTTTGTCCCCTTTTCCCCAGGATCTTTTTGTTGTTGAGACAGTCTCACTATGCAATTCAGGCTGGCCTCAAACTCATAGCAATCCTCCTGCCTCAGCCTCCCAAGGGCTGGGATTACAGGTGTGTTCCACCATGCTAGGCTTCCCCAGGATCTTGGTTCTTTAAATTCCATTTGCCTTTGACTCTACTTTTTGAGCCCCATGATATTGCCAAGGCTTTAGGCCACCACTTTCTCCTAAGCCTCAGTGCCTCTCAAACTAATCAGCAAATGGGCCGGGGATGTAGTTCAGAGGTTCTGCTGCCAGCCTCACCAGCACAAGGTCCCGAGTTCGATCCCTGCTACCAAAGCAATCAAGAAGATCCCCTTCAACTTAAAACATTTTCTTTTATTCTGTTTACTTAAATTCTACAAATGTTAACTGTTTTCTAATGCCTTAAGAGGGTCATGTGCACATTTTTAAAAAGATAGCTCCGATGCTTCCATAGGAAACCAGCCATGGGCCAGGGCGAGGGGAAGGAAAGTTAACAGGCTCTGACTGCAGAATTCCAAACAAGTTGTCGATGGTGTCTTGAGATAGTGACAGCGATGATAAACAGAAGTGAAAGATTTTGGATTTTTTGTGTTTCTGAAAAAGTAAACCTGTGATGATATCCATACATGGTGGAGGGTGGCAAGATACGATTTGATAACTTCTGGAAGGAATTTAAGTTGGTGCCGCCTTTCTGAAAGGAAGACTGACAATATTTATCCCATCTTTAAAATGATACTAACTTTTACCTATCAATTCCATTCCGAGTCATTTATTTTAAGGAAATAACACCAAGATTTAAAAAAAAACTTATTGCAGAAATGGTTTATAATAGGGAAAAATTGGAAACAACCTAATTATTAATTAGCATGAGTTTAATTAAATTACTACATCCATTAAAAATGAGGGCTAGGGTATTAGTTAGCTCAGTGGTAGAGCACTTACCTAGCATGCACAAGGCTTTGTGTTACATTCCCAGCACCATGAAAATAAGGAAATAATAAAAATAAAAACTAAGGGGTAAAGGAATGTTTATTGGGCTCACGAGATAACAACTGAAAAAATATCAGGTCCTAAAAGAATTTATACAATGTGACCCCACTTATGTTAAAAGATAATTATATATTATACTTACACATATAATATATAATTATTTTAACTATATATTATAGATAGTTATGTCTTGTTGTCCTGGAAGAATAAACACCAAAATATTAATGATGTTCATCTGTTTTTGTTTGTGTGCTTTTATAAATTTTTCACATCTCTTCAACAGTGGTGCTAGTTTATCAGGAAATAAAATATACTTTTTTCCAGTTCGAACACTGTCCTAGACCTGTTTTAAGAATCAGCTATGAGGGAGAGCTGAAGTTCTGGGGTGAAGCCTGAACCCTCTAAATCCCCCATCATAAGCAGCCAGCCGACCTCAGGCCCAGGAAGTGCTTGAGGACATCCCTCCCCGTGCGTGCGTCTCCGCCGTGGTCCCCAGCACTTCTGCACCTGGACTTGGTCATTTTACAGCCCGGCACTCGACCACAGCCGGAGGGAAGCGAGGCAAGGAGCGCGCACCGCCAGGCGAATGCCGGGGACCGGGACGAAGCCCCACACGGGCGGCGCCGGGCAGGGCGCAGCTGGGCCATTACTCAGCCCCTTCCTGCTGGCCCGCCTGGCGCCCTGCCGGGCCGCCTCCTCTGCCCCCCCCCCCCCCGCGCTCACCTCCCTTGCTGGTTACCTCAAGTCCCACCTATTTTTCCCTTTTTCTCTTGTTCAATCCCATCTGTAGCTTCTCATCCGAAGCTGTCTTCTTAGGTGCAATATGTAAACTGTCTTGAATTCAGCCATGGAAAGTTAAATCCTGAAGTTTCATCTCCCCAGTTCTGGGATCCCAAGCCAGGTTAGTCTTCAGACACACATCCAAGCCTACGTAGGCCAAGGTCTGTAGCACCACGGCTTTAGGTAGCACATGGTGAACCTGTTTTCACTTAAAAGTAGATATTTACTTTACCATGTATTAAAAATATAATTAGAAGCTGGATGTAGTGGCACACATCTGTAGTGCCAACACTGAGGAGGCTGAGGCAGGAGGATCCCTTGAGCCCAGGAGTTGGAGTCTAGCCTGGGCGACATAGTGAGACTCCCTAAGACCTCATCTCAAAAAGTATAATTTAGGGCTGGGATATAGCTCAGTGGTGCAGTGCCTTCCTGGCAAGCCCAAGCTCCTGAGTTCAATCCCAGGTACTGGGAAATAAATAAATAAAATTTAAGTATCTGGTGTGGTGGCACATGCCTGTAATCCTAGCATTTGGGGCCTAAGGCAGGAGGGTCAACACAAGTTCGAGGCCAGCCTGAACTACATAGCAAGACCTTTCTCAAAAAAATAAAAATAAAAATTATATTAGATATTTATATATCTATATATTTATGTAGTATATATAATATATATTTAAGATATTTCTCTTTTGCACTCTCTCTTACTATTTTTGGTTGTTGTTGTTGTTGAGACAAGGTTGCCTAGGGCAGTTTTAAACTAATGCTCATCCCACTTCAGCCTCCCAACTAGCTGGGATTACAGGTGTATGCACCAGCACGCTGGCTTGTATTTGCGGTGTTTTTAAGGTACCTGTATTTTTAAAGTATGGATGGTGAGCCTGGAATATGTCTTTAAATTTAAAATGTGGCTCTATTTGTGAAAAGACAAACAATTGTACACGTGGTTCTTAGTGTAACCACTAGGAAGGCTCACTGCTAGATTGGGTTCTCCCCTCCCCAGAGATTCCTGTTTTCCTTCTAAAGCCTGTCTCATCCCCTGCTCTTATCCTGCAGGATCTGCCCAGAGCCAGCCTTTTAAATGAACGTGTCTGTACAGTGGCCAGAAGAAGGCTCTGACCAGCATGGGCTTTCATCCCATCTCCAGCTGGCCTGAAGCTCCTCACTGTGTTGTGACCTCGAGGACGAGGATGGAATTCTGGCATGGATTCCAAAGGTGTTCAGAATGGCTGTGTTGCCCAGGTTCCCCTGTACCCCCGTCTGGTACAGCACACACAAGCTAGGCCTGAGAAGTCAGGTGTATTCACTGAGCACACATTTCCTTATTGAGCCCCAGTAATCCCGTGCCCTGTGCTGGGGTCTGCAGAGATGAGTTGAATTTGATCTCCTCCCTCTAGGTCTTAAAAGATGGCAAGGAGGTACCAAGGAGGAGTTGATGAAGTACTAGGAAACAAGCTAGCAACAACAAACAATAAAATGAAAAGAAAAATCACAGAGGTCCTAAAGCCCAAATTTTCAAGGAACCTGAGCTGAAAGTCAGCTCTGTGGCCAGCTGTATGCCACAGAGATATCCGAGGGGAATTCGAGAGAAGGCTTCATGTGCTCACTGAGTGGGCTTTGTCCTGAGGGCAGTGAGAAGCCACAGAAGTCTTCAGAGTGAGGGGAGGGATGGGGTGAAACCTGTGACTGCTGCACGTTGTTCTGGGAGTTGGGCTAAGGTAGCTCAGGGCCAAGGAGGGGCAGGTTGGGGATGTAAACCTGCCCTTTCTCTGCCTACCAAGCCATGCACCGGAACAGGGGCGCCTTTTGGCACTTTTCCTCCTAGAGGCCCAAAGTGTCTCCTGTGCTAGCAGCAGCCCAGGGCTATATAATAAAGGGGGAGCACAAGTTCACAAGGGTGGAACACAGAGGGCAGGCTGTGGAGGGAGATTTCAGCAGTGTGGGCAACCTTGGGGTGCTGAGTGATAAGCCTCTGGAATTCATGGGGGGTGTGATGGAACCGAAAACCAAAACGGGCCCTTGAGCTGGCTAGAACAAGTCAGGCCAGGGCCAACACCTGCACGTGGGTGGGGAGACAGTAAGGACTGTGTCCCAGGGCAGGCTCCACCCCAGTCTCACTGTGGGGACTGTGGCCTCACCCAGAAGGCCTCAGCTGCCGGTCAGGGCTAGGTGTTCGCAGGGAAGGGAGCAGGGTACCTTTGGGACCACTGAAGCAGCCATTCTCCCCTCCTGGCCTCCCAGGCTTCCCTGGGTACCAGGCCACCTTCTACTCCACACCTCTGCAGCCCTTCTGCCTTCCCATCTCTTCCGCCTGCCCACGTTCACCAGCTCAATCTTGACACTGAGAAGACCCTATGGGGCAGGCAGAGGGTTGAGGATCACATGCACACACTCCTGCAAGACTGGGAGGTCCCCTAGCTCCTGCTTCTCGGGCATCGCTTAATTGCAGACCATGAGCATGCACAGGGTGCAGCCAGCTCCCCCACGGCCCCTCCTCCTTGGCATCACTCTGTCCTCGTCAGAGCCAGGATTGGAGCCAGCTTCCTCTGGCCAACTGGGCATTCAGGACAACAGGCTTCAACTATCCTGGTACTGATCAGCAATCCACCAATGCCCACGAGAGTTCGTTTAGCTGGTGAAGATCATGGTCAGGTGCTTTAGCATGGGCAGCAGTTAAAAGAAGACAAAGAGCCTTTATTCTAGCAAAGATTGGTCTTAACCTGTAAGCTCACACCCTCCCCTCTCCCTTCCCATTCCTCTTTCCCACTTTGTCTTCTCTCTGCTACTCTGTTCCCCAACCTCCATCTCCCTCTGCCTTCAGTATTTGGGGTGATTCACTTTTGCTTTTATGAAAGCACTGGCCCTGGCATAGGATTCCAAATGTCATGAATGACCCTATCCTAATAGAGTCACCCCTGCCTGCTACCCTATCTCTCCCCACAGGACATGAAGATGGTGTAGAGAGCTGCAGAACATCGCTGTGCAGGGCACTGAGTCCCTCTGTGACAGCAGAAGAGCCGGGACCGTTGGAGATCCCACTTCCCTGGAAAGGGTGCCACATTAGTTTCTGGTCCTCCTCCAGCCAGCCCATCTCCAAGTGACCCAAGACCCCAGCAGTTTCTGAGGCCAGAGATTCCTATAGTATTTGTCTCAGTGACCGGCTTATTTCACTTAGCATAGTGTTCTCAGGGTTCATCCATGTTATAGCATGTGTCAGAATTTTCTCCTTTCTTTTTTCTTTTTTTTTTTTTTTTTTCTTTTTGAGACAAGGTCTCACTATTCAAGCCAGATTGGGTTTGAATTCACTACATAACCCAGGCTGGTCTTGAATTCATGGCGATCCTCCTCCTTCAGCCTCTAGATATTTCTTTCTTTTAAAAGTTAAATAATATTCCATTGTGTGTATGTACTGCATCTTGTTTCTTGATTCATCCATCCATGGACACTTGGGTTGCTTCCACCTTTTAGCTATTGTGAATACAGCTGCAATGAACACAGTGTACAAATATTTGAATGCTTGCTTTCACATCTTTTGAGTACATACCCAGGAATGGAAGTTCTAGATCCTGTGGTATTCCTGTGCTTCTTTTTTTTTTTTTTTCTTTTTTTGTACCAGGGATCAAACTCAGGACCTTGTGCTTGTGAGGCAGGTGGCAGAACCACTGAGCTAAATCCCCGGCCCCCATGTGCTTCATTTTTTGAAGACTCACCAATTGTTTTTCACAGAAGTCTTATCATTTTATATTCCCACCAGCAGGACACAAGGGGTCCATTTTCTCCATATCCTATGCCAACATTTGCTATTTCTTTAAAAACAAACGTTATGAAAGCGATGATTTTTTTTTCTTCCTTTTTTTTAACCTTTTGGATGCTGGGGATGGAACCTGGGGCTTCACACATGCTAAGGTCATGTGCTAGCTCTAAGCTATACCCTAACCCCTAGGATAGCTACCTTTTGAAAGGACGCATAGGAAATGGGTAAATAAGGGGCAGGAAGAAGAGATCATCTGCACTGGAGGTCTTATAATACTTTCCGATTTTTGAATCACCTGAATATATTACTTATTCAAAAAAATTAGGGCTGGAGCTGTAACTCAGTAGCTACACTTGCCTAGGATGTAGAAGATTCAGTCTAATCCCCCATACTGTGAAAGAAAAAAAGGAAGGGAAAAAAAATTGTTTTCCCAATATTTCTTATGAAAATTTCCAAAAAGAAAACTTCCAAAGATACTGCAAAGTTGAACGAATTTTAACAATGAGAATCCAAATATCCACTACCTAGATTTCACCATTAGCATAGGGCATTATCACATCCATCAATCAGTTATCCACCCATCAATGTATCTGATTTGTTAATCCATCTCCTCTCCCTCTCTCACTCTTGCTGGTGCTCATGTGTGTGCGTGTGTGTGTGTGTGTGTGTGTGTTGCTAGGAACTGAACCCAGGACTTGAGCATTCTAGGCAAGCATTCTACCACTGAGCTATATCCCCAACTTTTCTAAATAAATATAGAATACAGCTTCCTGAGACCCTTTCAACACCTACTAAGTCCCTTGTGGAGGCCTGGAAGTCTATTTTGAAGTCAGTTCTCCAGGTGATGCTAGCATGTGGGAACTCCTGTCCTGGTCCAGCTACTTACACTATGCAGAAGCTGTACCTGCGTTTAGTCAGAAGTCAGCCAACCTCAGCTGGGATTCTTTCCTTGTCTGAAAGCTCCCTGCCGTCACGAGGAAGTTTTATCACACTGGGGCCAAAACACTCCAGACCCATGCCCATTCTGGCCAATCTCTTCACCAGGACACACTTTGGTGCCTCATCAGGACAACTTCTAACACAGTCCCAGAGTGGGACACGCCTTCCCCAAAAAGAGACTTCTGGTCCCATCTCTCCCGGAGCAAGAAACTTTTCTCCTACGATTCAGGCTGTATTTGTCCTTTCTACCAAGAAGGGCAGGACATTCTGAAATGAGATGGCATATTTGCCACAGACATCATACTCACTATGTTGGGACCAGATTGGCCAGGTCCTCGAATTAGGGGATATTCGCATCCACCTCTTACCCCTGCTGAGCCCTCTGTCTTTGCCATAACAGTGAGACAAGGATGGATCGATGGATCATGACAGCAGATAACACTGTCAGGGACCTTGATGCATATCAGGGTTATTCCAGGCACATTATTTTGTATCCATTCATTTTATTGCCACAACAGTCCTACAGAGTAGGTACTATTACCCTCATTTTTTTACAGATGAAGCAATTGAGGCAGAGGGGGATTAGGTAATTTACCCAAAGGGATACAGTGTTTTCTTTTTAGTCAACACCACCACCTATGAACAGACACAGATACTTGTAAATACATATGCACTGCTCTTAATTTCCCGGAGCTCCCTGCTGTCAAATTCTGTAATACAGACCCTCCCGCCTAATATACCTGTGCACTCACCCTTTCCTGATAAATAATTCACATTGCCAAATTCAACAGTCCTCCACCCAACTCTCTCAGGAACTTGCTAAATGACTAGAGCCAACCTGATCAGTGATACATGGAATGATACATTGGAGACTTAAGAACTTCATCTCACTCCACAAATCACATCACATAAGTCTTAGCCCAAGGATGGCCTAGCCTGGCTCAGTCCTCTGCTTGGGGGATCCAGTGGGGGTTGATATCAAGATATTTTGGGCTCCTTTTCAGAAACTCCCAGAAAGCCCTAGGCTTGAGTCATGAGCCACACTGCTGAGGAGCTGAGAACTTTCCAATGGGTCCTGGAGGTGTTGAGGGAAGGAGAGATATTTGAGGACCTCTCTGACACCAGAGATGCCAGGTAAAACACAGGATGCTCAGTTACACTTGAGTTTCAGATAGACAGCAAATAGGTTTGTAGTATAAGTGTGTCCCAAATCGATGCACTTATGCATACTGCATTTTGATTGCTAAATATAAGATGTCAAATAAATAAATTAAATATAAGATGACCTGGAAATCCCTCCTACCCACCCTTATCTGTGTCCCTATATGAGGCAGCCTAATGCACTTGCCCTGAGTAGCTTAAGCACCCTTTAGTTTAAGGCACCTACAGAGCCAAGGCCATGGTTAATGGGGCATAAGAATGGTTGTCCTTGGGGGATGGGGGGTCCCACTCATTGTTTGGCTGTGCCTTGCATCTAGGAACCTACTTTTTTTGGAAGCAAACTAGTTTGTTGCAGGTCTCCTGAGAGGACAGGAAGGGAATATCCTCAAATGGTTTCCAGTTTCTCCAGCTTCCATTTTCCCTTATTCTTTTTTTTTTTTTTGGTACTGGGGATCAAACTCAGGTCCTTGCACTTGTGCAGCAGGCGGGGAAACCACTGAGCTAAATCTCCAGCCCTCCCTTATTCTTTTTTTTTTAACAAGCTCTCCCTATATAGTTCAGCCTGGCCTTGAACTCACTATGTAGTCTAGCTGGCCTCAAACTTGCGGCGATCCTCCTGCCTTGCCTCCTGAGTGCTGGGATCACAGGTGTGCACCACCACCCCCAGCTCCTTATTCTTATTAATTTTTTCTGATCATAAAAGAAACACATTCAGGGTGGGAATTCAGACGTCACAGAAAGTCCCTTCAGAGGTAACTACTATTAACAGCTTGATGTGTCTTCCTCCAGATTTTTCTCTATAAATTTTATGACGTATTGATATCACTTCCATAAATAGAACCGTGTTGTATAGGCTGTTCTAAAACTTGCTTCTGTCTCTCATGGTGTCAGAAACTTTTTTTTTAAGAGTAAGAAAAGTTATTGAGAGAAAGATAGCTTCTATCTAAGAGAGACAGAAGGGGGATGGGAAAGTGGGTTGCCTGAGGACTTCTTTTTTTTTTTTTGGATACCAGGGATCAAACTCAAGTCCTTGCGCTTGCGCAGCAGGCGGCGAAACCACTGAGCTAAATCCCCGGCCCCCGAGGACTTCTTTATGTGTATGTTCTCCCTTTGTGTTGCTCTGCCTCATTCTTTTTTAATATTTTTAAATTTTTTAACTTATACATAGTAATTTGTACATGTCTGTGTGACCTTTCAATACATACATATAATACGTACTGATCAGATCTGGGTAACTGACCTATCCTTCACCTCAGACATTTGTAATCTCATGTGTTAGGAACATTTAAAATTCCTTCCATCAGCTATTTTGAAATACATAATTAATTGCTGTCAACCCCAGTTGTCCTGCTGTTCCGTAGAACATTAGAAGTCAACTTCTGCCTCTGGAAACCTCTGGTGATTGGTTTAGGGGGCTCTGAGCACCTCTGAGTGTTGGATGGGTGCTAAAATGCAGGTAGATGCACCACACATGTCAGTGTGTGACTTGGGGTGTCGCACCTCCCTGAGGCTGATCTGTTGACCCCTTCACCTTGTGCATGGAGTGAGGATGGGAGGGGAATCATTGAAAGGGTCCCAGAGGGTGGGAAAGACTATATGGGGTGTTCTTGTTGCTGGGATGGGGAGACACACGCCCTGGGAGCCTCAGTTAGAGGCACCTGGGTCACTGCTTCCATTGAGAGACCCTCTGACTCTGGCCGGGGGCTCATCTCCTAGCACCCTCATCGGATCACCTGATGCCAGCACTGCCCAACCCCTGGGCAATGCAGCTGAGAGCCTCCTGGCCTCAAACGGGTTGGGCAGCATTCACTTCCCGGCGCTGTCCTCCCGGCCTGCTCAGTCATTAGGAAATGCCTCCCTGGCCAGCACAGTGACAGCAGCAGGAATAGATCGTGCTGCCAGCCCAGCACCCCTGGGTGGTTCCCATCTGCTCTGAGGAGGCTCCAGGTAGAAAGACGGATGCTACTGTCTCAGGTCCCAGATAAAGTGAGTCTGGGGCAGGGCTGGGGGTGGGAAAGGAGTGTGGCAGTGTCTGGGGCTAGAGCTGGAATGATGTAGATGGGTGTGTGTGTGTGTGAGAGAGAGAGAGACAGACAGACAGAAGGGAAGGAAGCCAGGAGGGAGAGAACGTGTGTGGTGTTTATGGGTGGGGAGGTAGTCCTAGCTGAAAACACAGGGCTTCTATCAGGCCTCTGGGAGGGAACTGCAGGTGCCTAGAAATGTCTCTGTCTCTGAATAAGGATGGTTTCCTTGGGCTGGTAACAACTGTTCCTCCTTTTCTATCTTCAAGATGGGCTGCTCCTGTGGAGGAGGCTGGACACTGGGACTTCCTAAGATCCCCTCCTTAAGCTAGCCATCATCTTCTCCCTGCCTTATAAGTGACCAGAGGGACAGCCCTGTTTCGGGCCACTCTGAGGAGGGAGGTTTGCATAGTCACTTTTCTACTCATGCTTCTTCATTTACTTCTTTAACCAGAGTCTGGAAAACCCTCCATGGAGGCCCATGCAGTAGAGTAGTGGTTCACAGTATAGCCAGGCTGTGTTGGGTTTAAATCCTGAGTGTGCCCCATGCTGGAAGTGTGACTTGAACAAGTTACTTCACTTAAGCCCTGAGCCTCAGTTCCTTTATCTGTAAAATAGAGATAATACCTACCTCCCAAAATTGTTGTCAGGATTCAGTGAGGAAGGGATGGAAAATGCCAAGCACATAATTAGTGTTCGATAAATGGTTGCTGTTATAATTATTTATTATTAGCTCCACAGTGGTCCCCCTTGGCTGGGAAGGCTTTCCAATCCTCCTCTTCTCCCAATTTCCTAAGGCACCAACAGGGACACCTTTAGCATATAATGCCTTGTATTCTAACATAAATAGTTTGTGCCCAAACTAAAATGTGTCCCTTGGATTTCTTCTGCTGCTCTCTCACAAACCCCAGCACTCAACACAGAGTCAGGCCCATCAGAGGATCTCAAGGATGGAAAAAGCGTGGAACAAAGAGAAAGAGAAAGATGCAAGAAAGGAGAGGTCAGGGAAAGACTGAGAGAGGGGAGAGAGTAGAACATGGGGAGGGAGGTGGCATTGTCTAGGTATGAGTGGCATGACTCTCCTGAAGCACATAAAATTGAAAGGATTGTACCAGAAAGAGGCCAGCAGTGTGGGGCCGAGATGTCTTTTGCACTCATTGAACTATTTTCCTAGAACTCAGATGAGAAATCAAACCTCTCCTACGCCGGGCATGGTGGTACATGCCTGTAATCCCAGCACTTGGGAGGCTGAGGAAGGAGGATCGCCTCATTTGAGGCCAGCCTGGGCTACATAGTGACTTTAAGGCCTGAACTATGTAGCGAGACCCTGTCTCAAAAAAAGAAAACAAAAATCTCTCCTCCTCCTCCTGTTTTGCTCATCCCAAGGACAATGCTTCCTGACTGGGCACCCAATCTACCAACTGATACTCATAATGTTCTCTTTATCACCTACAGAATTCTCTCCCTCTCCCTCTCCTGACTCTCTGTCTTCCTCCTTCCCTCCTATCTTTCCTTCCAAAATGACCTTGGGCAAATCATTCCCCCTCTCTAGACCTAAATCTACTCTCCTATAAAACTAAGAGATTCAACTTGAGAAGACCACAAAAGTCCTTTCCCCCCTAATATTCTCTTATTTGCTCTTATTCTCTTGCCTCCCTTGATTCCCAATTTTCAGTTATCTAAACAATTTAAGCTATTGACCACCAATCTTCCTTAAAAAAAATATTTTTCAAGAAAATTTATAAATGTCCTCTAGGCTCTCAAATTTCATGAGGGACTTCTTATCACTGCTTATCCCCAGTGTTGTAAGCTCAGTACTTAGTAAATAGCAGTGCTCAGTAAATATAGGTTGAATAATTGGATGGGTGGGTGGATGGATGAATTGCTACCATATACCTCTGGGGAATTATAAAATGCAAGGATATGTTAGCAATTGATTAGCTTAAGAAAATCACAGTCACTCTGATAATAACCATGTTTAGTTAGACATTTGTAAGTGTATTACAAAATGAAAACAGAGAAATACTGGAATCATCATCTTAATTTTTATCCATTATCCATCACTTACCCAATCTATTGTCATCTTGTTTAGTTATTTTGAGATAAGCTGTTGTCTATCAAAGGGGGGTGACTTTTTAGACAAGATACATGACACGGGTCTCTAAGCCCCACTTTGGGAGGACAGAGGGCCTGCCTTACCAATGACACTGCCCATTCATTGAGCATTTACTGTGTGTCACACTCTTCAATCACATTAGCTCACTTAATATCTCCAATGAGTTGGAGGAAGATGGTACTACTATTTTCAGCCTCATTTTACAGAAGGGAAACTGAAGCACAGAGAGGTCCAACAACTTGGTCAACATTATACAGAGAGCAGGGGGATTTTCACCCAGCTCCATTGTCTGAGTTCTTGACCACCCATACACACATGAGAGGTCATGCTGACTATGTCAGAGATCAGACCTGGAGACCTCTGGAAAGGTTTGGGGGCTTCCTTCATGGTCTCAGGATTCCTATCACCACCTTCACATATTTTTACTCTTTCTTAGTTATAGGACATTTTTCAACTTGGCAAAAGAGACACCAAAAGAGAGGAGAGATTCCAAACAATATATGATCTTTATAGTTTGTCCTTCCTAGTAGTTAATCTTGTTCTCATCTGTCATCTGTCAGGTCTGGGGCTGCCACACAGCTCTATTTTATAAGTGTGTCTTAGGGTCTTTTGTCTGTCATTGATGGAAAAATGTATCAATAATAAGCAACCATGGTTCCCCTCCAAAGGCTGTTGTAGATAAATTAAGACTCCACAGCTATGATACTTAAAAATGAAGATACTGTACTTGGGCCTGACCACACATCCAAGCAGGTGTTCCCCTTCAAAGTTCTTGGCATTTCTGCTGGGAGCATCTTTGGGGGTCTCACCTTCACCCTCAGATATGCTTTTAAACCCACTGTTATAGTGGCTCCAAACCTTTGAGTTAAACAATAACATGCCACTAGATCACTCATTTGTTTTCTAACCATACTTGGCTCCCACTGACTTTGGTGGCCGTTTCCAAAATGTAAGACAGATCCTCCAAGGATTTGAAAGTCTGCCTTCTCTGAGGTTAATCAGAAGGTTCTCTGACTGCCTCTGGCAGCCCTATAAAAAGAATGTGAAGAATCAGCATGGTATGGTGGGTGTGTGACTACATCGAGGGCCAGCAGGCATTTGCCTGTGTAAGTTCTAAGCTTTATTTTTAAGACAGTCATTGTTTTATAGCCATGCTTAGCACAGAGGAATGCGTTCCAATGGCTGGGGGAAATCGCATGAATCAGCCCAGGCCAGCTGAGGAGGGAGGCTGAGGGCTAGCAGACACTGTTTTGAAAAATGGCCTCTGCAAGTGGAAGACTGGACTGAAGCCGGGTGTGCATCTTCTTGGCTCCCTCTCTGTTCTGGGAACTGGGTCTTCCTGCCTGCACTTGGGTATTGAACCGGGAAGAGGTGAGGTGGTGACCTCACCATGAGCGCTCATCATGGTTGAGGTGAGGCATCGGGTATTTCAGGTACTCTGCACACTTCCTTCCAGCATCCAAGGTGGCCGGGATCTCTCATCTCCCAATACCCCTGTCCAGAAGCACATGGGCAGCTCCTCCTAAGGCTCTTAGGCTCTAGATCTTAGTTCGCAGCTCAATTCAGGTAGCCCACTGAAGAGAAGCAGCAGAAGAAGGGAAAGTACACTGGAAGTAGCTGGAAGTAGAAAGAAAAGGAAGTAACAAGAGCAGGCAAAAAGCAGGCAGTGGGCCTGGGGAGCAGGTGGGGAGGGTGGGAGTTAGGAAGGGGGAGGAAGAGAGGGCAAGGCCCAGATGTTCACCACCTTTCACTCCCCGCCTCCGCAGCTAAGCCCTGTCTTCTCCGAGGGGCCATGTCTGAAGGGGAGAGCAAGGACAGCGCGGGTAGCGAGTGCCCAGTGTGCTACGAGAAATTCCGGGACCTGGAGGGCGCCAGCCGGACGCTGAGCTGCGGCCACGTGTTCTGCCACGACTGCCTGGTCAAGTATCTGCTCTCCACCCGGGTGGACGGACAGGTGCAGAGAACCATCGTCTGCCCCATCTGCCGCTACGTCACCTTCCTCAGCAAGAAGAGCTCCCGCTGGCCCTCCATGCTGGACAAGAGCTCACAGACCCTGACTGTGCCCATGGGCTTACCTGTGCCCCTGCCCTCCGTGCCCTCCCCAGACCGCACAGGCCACACAAACCCCTTGGCCACCTCCCAGCCGGTCTGGAGGTCACCCTCAAACCAGGGGACCCAGCTGCCCTTGGACCTGCTGCCCAGCCTGTCCCGGGAGTCACAGATCTTCATCATCAGTCGCCATGGGATGCCCCTGGGAGACCAGGACAGCGTGCTGCCACGGCAAAGCCTGGCCGAGCTCTCGGAGGCGACCCCAGCCCCCAGCGCCTCCCGCTCCTTCTGCTGTCGCTCACGGGCTCTCCTGCTCATCACCCTCATCGCGGTGGTGGCTGTGGTAGCCGCCATCCTCCCCTGGGTGCTGCTGGTAAGGAAGCAGGCCTGAGTGGTGGCCCCTGGCGAGAGAGCAGAAGGGGGCCAGGCCTGAGCGCTGCCCTGGCAGCTGCCCTGCTCTATGGCCAGGCTGCCCATGGCTTGGGCAGGGGCAGACGTGGTGCAACCAAGCTCTGAGGAAGGCCTGGGGCAGAAGGGAGCATGGAGTGGGGCTGGATTGGAAGTATGCTGGCTTTCTCCCCACCTGCACACACACACACACACACACACACACACACACACACACACACACACACACACACACACACACACACACCAGCAAGGGCATGGGATGACAGGGAGGTTGGGGGCTAGAGATCTCTGAGGCTAGAACTTAGCTGAGGCGCCCATGTGTGGCCTCCACGCCTATTCTTGGTAAATACCCCTCCCCTAGGCTGCAACTGAGCAAGCTGGGAAGATGGCTGGTCACCTCTTATGAGCACCTTACCTGCCAGGTGGACCTCCCTGGGGACAAGGAAGCTCTGCTGGCCTATGCTCTGCCAGCTGGGGGCCCAATGGCAGACCTCGTATGGCCAGGATTCCCTCATAGGATTCTGTAGCTTGTCCCCAAGAACGAACAGAAGGTTGGTGCAGGGGCTTAGACAATGGTTTCCTGGAATCTTAGGCCCACACTTGATCCTGTAGCATCCCTCCCCCAAGTCCTTCCTGCCTCTAACCCGCCTGTTGGAGTGTCTTCCCTGAGTGAGAAGCTGATCTCAGAGGCAGTGGCACAGGATTTCTGGAGGAAGCAACACAAAAGGAGATAGCAGAGAGCACATCAGGAAACAGGCTTGTAGACAGAGGCCCAGGTCAGCAGAATGGCCAAAAACAGAGCCAGAGGTTTTCCTGAGCCTTCCAGGCCCAAGGAATGGGCCAGATCTTGAGTCTCAGGGTTCTCCAGGTTGGAGGGGAAGGCAGGGAGTAGAGGGGACGCTTGACAAGGTGAGACCTGAGTCACCTGAGAATTATGTGGGCAAATTAACCCCTGGGGGTTCCCGCCTCCCTCCCTGCCCAAGTCCTCCTCTTCATGACCCAGCCACTCATTAGAGGCCACACCAGCCAGGCCAGTTTCCCAGGTGGATTCTCAGGCTGAGCTGGGAGGGGAAGGGTGGGGAAGAGAACAGCTATGTTTGTCAGGGACTCTGCTGTCTCAACAAATGCTGAGAGCCAGGTGCTGTTAGTTGTTTGCCACCAGGGCCTATTTATCTGGGGGACCCCTGATGAGACACCCCAGAAAAGCCTGAGGAACAACAATTTGGGAACAGTTACTGGCTGTTAATTGAGGCCCATATTCAATCAAGGCCTTGTGACACTATAACAACATCAACAGAATCCCCAGCTACTGCACAGGTAGGGTAAGCACCTCAGGAGTGCAGCAGCTGAGCCCCCACAACCTGTACCTCCCCTTATCTGTGGGGAAAGAAAAAGCACTCAGCCTCTTATCTAGCTCCTGTGTCATTTGGGAGTCATTAGGGAGTGGGGTCTACACCACAGGGGATATTTATGACATGGAGGGGGCTGTTTTAGAGCTCTGACAGGCTTCCTTCTATTCTTTCTAAGACTAGATAAGAGCACAGGTGCTGGGGGGGGGTTGTTGTAAGTAGATTCAGGGATGATATTTATTATAGGAGCAAAAATAATGTTAATTTTACAAAGACTCTAATGAGTCTGTCTTTACCTCAGCCAGGCTGCTTTAAACAGTGTCATAAATTTCTAGGAACCTGATTTGAGTCTTTTCAATTGCTACTGTGTTTGCCAAGAGTTTCTTTCAAAAGATCCGCAGTGTTTTCATATCCTTTACCTGCAACTTGTAGATGACACTTCTTTCATTTTCCAAGAATGTCAAAAGCTATTTTTTAAATAAAGCTATGTATTTTCTCAAAGATTCCAGAGACATTGTATTGCATGTGGGAAGCTACAGGCTTGGACTCATGGGATAATTCATGTTAGATGAAAAAGATAGTTTGAAAAATAGAAATCTAAATGGCCCTTGTAAAAGAAATACAAATTAAAATCCTGTTGGCATTCTATTTTTACCCATTAGCTTGTCAAACCCGCTGAAGCTGAAGGAGGCAGGTAAATTGTTGATAGGAAATATATTGGTAAAACCTTTATCAAGGAAGATTTGACATTACCTATCAAAATTTCCATTTTGACTCAGAAGCTCCTGTTCTAGAAATAGAACTGGACGAACTGTTATACAGCGTATGGATACACTAGATATGCTTGCACATATGCACAATGTTGTATAATTTCAGCATTGTTTGTTGTAGTAAAGGATTGGAAAAATCCTAAATGTTAATCAATAGATAACTAGTGGCCAGGCATGTTGGTGCACACCTGGAATCCCAGCACTCTGGGAGGCTGAGGCAGGAAGGAGCCCAACCTGGGCAATTTTGCGGATTAGCAAGACTCTGTCTCAAAATAAAAAATTAACAAAAAGGGCTGGGGATATAACTCAGTGTGAAGGCCTGGGTTCAATCCCCAAAAGAACAACAACAATAACAACAAAAACAACAACAAAAATGAAGGACTCCATGGATGACATAGAACATCCCTAAAATACAATGGCAAATGGGAACAAGCCAGGTGGGAAAGAATGGACACCAGATACTACAATTGATGTAGAAAGAGGAAGAAATGAGAATTTACATTCTTATTTTCTTGTTCCTGCATAAAGAAATTGGGACGATACATACAAAACTAAAAACAGTGATTATTATGGAGGGAGATGAGAAGCTGACAGGATGTGAGAGTTTTCACTTTACCTTTCATGCTTTTCTATTTTGAGGCCAAGTAAATGTATTATCTATTGAAAAATTAAATTGAGGACTGAAGGTGTAGCTCAGCTGCAGAGCTTGCACTTAGTATGCACACGACCTTGGGATCAATTCCCAGTGCGCGCGCGCGCACACACACACACACAACAAATCAGCCTGAAGAACATTAGAAGTTAAACATGTCTTCAGTGTACACACCTGTTGCCTGGTAGGAAGACTGCCCCAAGATCATTCGAGAACTGCGCACCAGCCCTGTGCTTCAGGAGTGTCAAGGTACTGGCTCCTGAGCTGGCTTATCTGGTGAGAAGTATGACATCTTATGCTTCACATGCACCCAAGAAATAAGGCAAGAAATTTAGTATCAGTGATCCAGTTTCTATGGATTTCTTTGGTCCCCATCATTTGATATGTTTATTTTGATTTCCCTTTCTCTTTTTTTTTCCTTAAAATTCTCCTTTCTCTATCTTTGTTTCCTTCTTCAATAAAATTTTTTGCTTTAAGCAAACACCTTAGGTTAGGGCACTGTAGGGTGATAACATCAGATAGAGGGTGACAGATTATAGATAGATAGATACTAGCTACATAGACAGAGGGAAGGACTAAAGGTTAAATCTCCCTCCCACCCCCACTCCGATCGAACTCCGGTCCTTGCGCTTGCACAGCAGGCAGTGAAGCCACTGAGCTAAATCCCCAGCCTTAAAGGTTAAATCTTAACTTAGAGGTTAAATCTAAACTCTGTTGTTCTCTTCTTCCCCTTGTCTGAAGGCACCAGTGCATTGTATACACACATTGCCACCTTCCATGGACACATGAACCTTTCACTCCCATACACACTTGCAGTCTCGGTGTACCAGGTAAACTTAAGGAATCAACACATGTTCCCACCTTGTCCACCTAGCCTTCCAGAAAGTTCAAAGTTGACTACAAAGACTTTCCCATCCCTTACTTCATGTGAAGTGGCTACATGCACACACATGCGCACGCACACACACACATGCACGCACAAGTGCATGCACTGCATCACATCATCTTCTGGGGGACAAGTTATTATGAGACTTTTTTTCCTCCTGGTACTGGGACCAAACTCAGGACCTTGCACCTGGGAGGCAGGCTCTGTGCCACTGAGCTAAATCCCCTGCCCAATTATGCTTCTTTGTTGATATGACTGTCTCCTTCTAGCCAAAGTGTTCCTTCCGGGGAGGCTGGCTGTTATAGACCCAGGTATCTTCAGCCTAACATAAAAGTTAGTAAATAGTAAGAACTGAATATAAGATCTTTGCGGGGGTCAGGGTTCAAACTCACAACTTTGTGCTGCAAGGCAGGCGCAATGCCACTGAGCTAAATTCCTGGCCCCCCCCTTTTTTTTGGATTTCTTGAGACAGGATCTCACTATGAAGTTCAGGCTAGCCTTGAACTCACTATGCAGCCCAGGCTGGCCTCGAACTCATGGGATCCTCTTGCCTCAGCCTCCTGAGTGCTAGGATTATAGGCATGGTGCTACCATGCTGGGCAAGATAAATATTTATATAATGCATGTATACCTATACGAATGAATGAATATAATGGCTTGGTGTCTAGAAAAAAGTTCAGTTCACTTTAGGCATGAAATTTGGATATAATCCCTGCTTTGATGTGTCGGAGGGCTCCGCAAAATGATCCTAAAGAGCCAATTTAAAGGATCTTTTTCAAACCAGGTAATAGGTGTGTAGGAAAAAGGGGCAGCAAGGGCAGCCAGATAAACGAGGTTACCAGAGGATCGTGCAGGGTGGAGCCAAGATACCAACAGGCACTGGTTAACAACCAGGCTACTGGAAATTTGCATCTCTGGATACAATCTGTAGCTCAACAGTCTTCTCACTGTGTAAAGTGGCAATGCTGTCCAAACAGTGAGGGGAAGGTTTAATCTTGATGACTCAGTGTTGAGGGAGGGAAGGAGGAAAGGAGACCCAGAAAGCAGGGAAGTGTCAGTGAACAAGGGAGATGAGGAAGTAGATTGAGTCTTTTGTGGGAAGAGAAGACAGTGCTGAAGAAGGTCTAAAGAGGAAACCTGCTATGACAGTTGTCCCACATGGTCTAGCGGTTAGGATTCCTGGTTTTCACCCAGGCGGCCCGGGTTCGACTCCCGGTGTGGGAACACTACACTTTTGGCCAGGTATGGCCCGAATACCAGAAAGAAACACAGTTTAGGAAGGTAGAAACCTTCAGCAGCTCCCTGCGGCTTTCAGCATTTATATCAAATTCAGCACATCCCAGGAGACCCGGGATGCCCTCCGCACGCCTATTTGGCCACAAGGATCTGGTCCCTGGAAAGAAACCACTCCTTCCCTCAAGCCATTCTCACTGCCGGGTGGAACCAATCTTAACCTCAACTCAGTCACAGATGACCTCACAGCAGAAGTATTTCCTGACCCCAGCCGCTCTCTTCTGCCCAGAAGCACCAAAGCATCAAAGGCAGCTGGCTCAGCAAGCATTTTTCTTGTGGTCCCAGCCTTATGGGTTCTGAGGTCTCCGTCTCCTCCGGGACCAGGACTTCCGGGAGCACACACGTGGACTCAGCTCACTGCTCCAGTGTCTAGTTCAAGGCTGGCCCTCAAGAGATGCCATAGAAGCATTTGTTCACTAGACTTGCAGCTGAGAAAACCTCACTGAGTTTCAGTTACAAATAAACCTGAAGCGCTTACTCTTTCCTTCACAGCACATTTAAGAACACAATTTTTCTTGTTTGTGTGTGTGCCCATGTGCTTGTGTGGTTCTGGGGAATGAACTCCATGGCAGTCTACCACTGAGCTACATCCCCAGCCCTGTTCACTTATTTATTTATTTGGTTGGTTGGTTGGTTTTGAGACAGGGTCTCATTGTGTAGCCCAGGCTGGCCTCGAACTCTCTCAGTGATCCTCTTGCCTCAGCCTTCTGGGTGCTGGGATTACAGGCGTGCACCACCATACCCAGCTTATTTTATTTTTATTTTAAGATAAAATCACTAAATCCCTCAGGCTGGCCTTGAATTGACAGTTCTCCTACCTGAGCCTTCCAATAGGAGGGATTCTCTAGAGGCATGTGACACCATTTCTGGCAACACAACTATTTTTGAACCATGAAAACATATTCTTTTTTTAATTTTTATTTTTTATTAGGACAAGTTTGCAGCACATAATGACTACATTCCTCGTGGGGAGTTGGCACTTGTACACACACATCATAATTCTTTTCTTATCCCCTTTCTCCTTTCCCCTTTCCTCCCCCTTGCCTCCCTCTATCTCTTTGTCCCTTTCCCTTTTGCCAAAGCTCTATCTCCCTATTCCTATTATCTATCTTTTATTTTGTTCTTTATTTATATTTTGGATTTCTCATATAAGAGAAACCATGTGATATTTAAGCTTGTGTGTCTGATATGTTTCATTTAACATTATGGTCTCAAGGCACATCCATTTTCCTACAGTGACTCAAGTTTTTTCTAAGTTTTTCCTTCTTTATGACAGAGTAATACTGCATTTTGTATAAATACCGCATTTTCTTTTTATTCATTCATCTGTTTAGGAATATGTAAGATGCTTACAAGATTTAGCTACTATAAACATGGGGATGAATTGAACATTTTTTCATGTACTTATTGGCCACTTGTTTGGGTTTTTTTTTTTTTTTTGTACTGGGGATCGAACTCAGGACCTTGCGCTTGCAAGGCAGGCACCAAAACCACTGAGCTAAATCCTCAGCCTTATTGGCCACTAGTACTTCTTCTTCTGAGAAGTGTTTATTCAATTCAGTTGCCCATTTTTTGATTGGATCTTTTATTTGGAGGAGTTTAATTTTTTTTGAGATCTTTATATACCCAAGATATTAATCCGGGCTGGGGATTTAGCTCAGTGGTTCTGCCGCCAGCCTTGCAAGCACAAGGACCCGAGTTGGATCCCTGGTACCAAAAATAAAACAAAACAAAAAAAATATTAATCCTCTGAGGAATACCTGGCAAATGTTTTTCCCATTCTGTAGGTTGTTTCTTCGCTCTGTTGGTTGAAAATACATGTTCTTTACTGACTCTACTGTGAACCGTCAAATATAGTTTCTCATTCTTTGATTTGA